ACAGGTGTCACAATAGTCATGCTGCCTCTACCTGCTCCAGACACGGCCACCTGCGGCCCTCGGGGTCCTCTCCACTGGGCCTGCTGTGCTGGGCTCCTCTGTGGGCTGCCCTCTTTAAAGCCCCAGGGCCCTCGGCTCTGCAGACCTTGGCTCAGGACATCCCACAGCCCCGAGACCCCACTGTCTTCCTTGTCCATGCCTCACCGGAGGCCCCACAGTCCACAGACTGAGCCCGGCTGGCCAGAGCCCCATCTCTGTGTCCACAGGCTACAACATGATGCGTGTGTGCCCTTGTCTTGGTCCAGGCCCCCCACAGCACTGAGACCCTGCTGTGCAATCTGGCCTGAGCAGTGAGGGAGGGGCTCACCCCTTCCCCAGAGGAGCTATGGGGTGGTTGAGATGCCAGGCAGCAGGCCTGGGCAGGGGTCTCCAAGCCAGGGGTCTCGCAGGCTGAACCCCCAACAATGCCCATCCTTCCAGGAAGCCTCAAGGTGGAGCTGCTGTGCTGCCCTCCCTGCCCCCTGAAGATCAATTGCTGCATCCTCTGGGGCCAAGTACGGGCTGGCAGCCCTCCTTCCTGGCTCACCAGAGATCTCAGCGGGGACCTTGGCAGGACACTGCAACTGCCCTCGCCTAGGAGGGGCTGACAGCACAACCTTGACAAGGACAATCCTACCCAAGCCCATAGGGGCAGTGTCTGTACAACAAGGGCCTAAGTGCTAAGCCGAATCCAGACACAGCTCCCATGGGCCTGGGGGCAGGGGTGGCCTCTCATCAGACCCCTGCCCTGGAGTATGGACCCCAGTCTGGTGTGCCCTGCCCAGGTGTGACGTGACCCAGAAAACGCCAATCCCAGATAGAAGCTGACTCAGCCGGGATCCCTGATGACCCCTGGGGAGGCTCTGGGGCCTGAGGTTCCCCTGTGCCCTAGCCAGCCCTGCCTCTGTTCCTCTGTGCATAACTTAGGTGGGTTGCTGTCTGCTTGGCAAGGGGCAGAAAGGGTTGGAGACACCCCCAGCCTGGTCTGGGTGAACTCAGCACCCAGCCCCTGGCTGTGGCTGGGCCTCTGTGCACAGGCCAGCTCCCAGACCTGGTGCCCAGGGACTGGGAGACAGAAAGCACTGCCCCAAGGGAGGGGTGAGACAGATGGAGATGGGGAGGGGGATCCAGGGACACCAGCTCCCTGGTGTCTTGGGTGTCCTGGGGACAGGGCTGTCCAGCCACAAGGCATTGTGGGTGCCTCTAGGCCCTCTAGGCCGGAGTGGGCAGAGCGTCTTTCTGGAGGGCACTACTCCCAAGCTGTGGGCATTACCAGCACCCAGGACCCGCCCCTGGGGTGGGGGTGGGGGCTCAGACAGCCACAGGGCCCTTCCAGTCCCACCGCAGCTCACAAACTCCCCATATCCCCTCCCCCCACCTCACCCCTACCGACACAGGTGACAGCCCAGCCCACCGGATGGGCCAGCATGCGACCAGAGCCTTGTGGGGACCCGCAGCTTTTATTGACGCTCTGAGGGGCCGGGCGGGCCTCGGGGGTGGCACCGCAGGGTGAGGTCCTCGGGGTGGTGGGTCCGCTGAGCGGGGGCTTAGGACTCGGACTCGAACATCTTCTTGCGACCCTCCATGCCCGACTTCTCCTCGATGTTCTTCCGCCAGTCGCCCACGTCCCGCAGGTCCCGCTCCTGCACGAGGGGCGGGGTGGACTCAGGGCCAGCGCAGGGGGCGGGGCTGCGACTCTGCTCGGGGGTCCCGGGAGGGTACTCGGATGGGGGCTGTCCGTGTGCCTGTGTGTCTATGTGTCCGGCTCCGGGCCCCGGGATGGAGGTGGGCGGGGGTCGTGTCTGTGTGTCTGTGTCCCACCCCTGGGCCCCAGGATAGAAGTGGACGGAGGTCCATGTGTATGTATCCGGCCCTGGCCCCGGAACGGAGGTGGGCGGGGCTCCGTGTGTGTCCACGTGTCTGTGTCCCGCCTCCAGGCCCCGGGATGGAGGCGGGCGGGGGTCTGTGGGTTTTCAAGCGTCCGTGTGTCCGGCAGTCTGCGTACCTTCTCGGTGTCCTCCTTCTTGACCTGCTTCAGGTTGGCTCTGAGGTCCATGCACACCTTGTGCTTGGAGCCCAGCAGGGCCTTCAGCATGGCGTCGGCCGACATGCGCACCCGCCGCAGTGGGGGCCGCTTGAACTTGCCCCTCAGGTCGAAGAGTTTCTGGTTCATGTCCTCCAGCTGCGCGGGGCAGACGCGGGGGCCAGTGAGCTCCGGGCAGGGGGTCCGCAGCCCCGCGCCCCCCCACCCCGTGCGCCCCACCGGGCCTCTCTCACCTCCTTGGAGCTTTTCTGAACCTTCACCTCCATGTCGTACTTCTCCTCCTCGGCCACGTCCACCTTGGCATGCAGCTGTTTGCACAGCTCCTGCGGGGGCGGGAGCAGAGCTTAGGCCGGGGGACCGGACCCAGCGCCCCCTCATCCCCAGCCCCCCGGAGTCCCGCACCGGACCCACCTGCACTTCGGACATGGAGCCGGGGATGTGCAGCGGGGGGCAGTGCTCCTGCAGGTATGTCTGCTTCTCCACCTGCTTGCGGCTCTCCTCCTGCTCCAGCTCGGTGGCTGCGATCTGCAGCATGACGCTCTGCAGGCGGGTGTGAGGGGCCGCGTGAGTGTCGTCTCCACCACCCCCCATCCCCACCCCCGAAAGGCCCTGGGCGCCCCCCACCAACCCCCCGCAGACCCTGGTGTGCCCCCCCCACACCCTGGCATGCCCCCCATCCAAGACCCTGATGTACCTTCCACAGATCTTCCTGCCCACCCTCCTCAAAAAACCCCACTGCCCTCCATCTGTGACTGCCCCCCCCCCCACCGCCCATGGCCCTGCTCCCCTGGGAAGGCCACTGTACCTTGAGGTGCTGCCTGCGGGCCGTGATGGCCCTGTTGCGTTTCTGTGGGGCAGGAGAGAGGCAGTGGGTGAGGGCACCGGAGCCCAGCCACCCCATCCCATCCCACCCCTCCAGACCAGGAGAGGGTAGGCTCAGGGACTCAGTTAGGTGGGGACATAGCCCATGGGGGGCGGGGGGGCTCCAGGCGGAGGTCGTAAGGAGGGAGAAACAGTCCCTTGGGAGGGCCGGGCCTCAGCCCTACTTCTCAGCAGATACTGGGCCAGACTTCCTGTTTCCTCAATGTCTCAGCAAGGTGATAGTGGTGGTGGTGGCAGTGGCGGGGGACATGTCCCCGCAGAGGAAGGGGCCTCTGGGCATCTCCTGGGCCTCCAGTCTCCAACCTCTGACCCTTTCATGCCCTGCTCCACCCCTACCTCCCCCAGACCCCCCATAAGTACTCACCTCTTCACTGTGTGGGGGGAGGGGGAAGAGAAGAAAACAGTTAGGGTCATGGTGAGCGGGCAAGAGCTGGGGTGATCAGCAGGGGCCGGGAGGGGTAGGAGGTGGGGGGCTTCAGGGGGTAGGTGGGACTGAGGATCAACACTTACTCTCCCATGGCGAAGTCTTGAGCTCAGAGCCTGTGGGAGCGAGAGGACAGGGGTCAAGTGTGGCCACCCCGGCCAGTGGGCAGCAGGCTGGCGCCGCCCTGTCCCTCCAGCCCCAACACCCACGCCCAGGGAGGGGGGTCATCTTGGAATTCCCGGGGGGGGGTGCAGGCTGTCCCTAAGTGTCTAGGCTGAGACTGGAGGAGGTGCAGCTGTCTCCAGGGGAGGGGGCAGTGCTGGACGGGCCAGCGCAGGTGGCCGTGGGGCCACAGGGCTATTTTTAACCGTGCTCCATTGGCTCTGGGATGAAGTGGACAGAAATTGCTCCTTCACTTGGTTTGGGGCACTTTCTCCTGGGGTTCTCAGGACCCCCAAACCTCCTCTGCCCTTGGGCAGGAGGCCTAGTCATCAGGGCCCCATCCAGCCTGTCCCTCACTTGTCTCCCCTTCTCCTACGCCCAGATCCCCAGGGGCCCAGGGAGGACTGTGAGCATCCATGCCCGACCCCCAGCCCCTGTGACCCCACTTCAGGAAGTCTGCCTTGGAGCTTGCTGGGGACCATCTGCACCCCGGTCCCCCTGGGGTCTCACCTAGCGCCTGTGTGTGGGAGCCGAGCCGGTCAATGGGTGACGGGTTAGGCTGGTGGGCCAGGGGAGGGGTATAAATGCCCTCTCCTGGGCTGGGCCCCCGCTCAGTAAGGGCATGGAGCCCTCTCAGACCAATGGGGGCCCAGGCAGCCAGCTGGAGGCTCCCACCTGCCCAAGCAGCCTAGCCTGGCCCCGCTGACCAAGTGCTACCTCCCTTCCAAGAAGCCTTGGGGCTGGGGGGCAGGGGGGGGGAGCTGCTCTATTTAGGGCTCTGTGATGAGTTCGGGATGCCTTCTCTGCTCTTCCAAGGAGCTTGTGACCGCCCACGTGGCCTTTCTTGCTGGCACGCGGGGAGTGGGGAGGCAAGGCTGGGCAGCTGGGTGAGCTGGCCGCAGTGGGCCAGACTGACTGGTCCACCCACGATTGATGTTGGCTGGGGACAGCCCCTGTTTCGGGGGGCCGCTGTTGCCATCACCAGGGCCCCGTTTCCACCCTTTCGAGGCTCTGTGGATGCTGTGCCTTCCCTGGTCCAAGCCAGTCCCCAAGTGACGGCTAGGAGCCCCCTCCCTCTACCCAGTTTAGCCTCGGGGCCCTGCTGCCTAGGCTGCACAGTACAGGGGCCCCTCTCCCAACCTGGCGGGGCTCTTGTGCTCCCCGCCCCCCAGTTCACCTGGGGACTCGGAACACGTCCTTCAAGCCGGGGTGGGGCCTCACCCTGGGAACCTCTCCCTGACCTGCGGGCGGTGCCCCTGGCTGCCCGGGCAAGCCCGAGCCCCCTCCCAGCCCTGCCTGGCTCCTTGGCCCGCTGTGACTTGGCACCCTCCCATGGGGGGCCCCTGCTCCCGGCGTGGGGAGGACAGGGAGACAGCGGATGCAGGAGGCTTTGCCTACTAAAGCCGTCCAGATGCGCGGGATTAGCAGGCACCCCAAGGACAGAGGTTTCCGAAGGGGTCTGCTGCCCCCTGCTGCTCACACGAGGCGGCTCGGCCTGCCCTGCTGAACAGGGTCGGACCCTGAGCTTGGGGGCTTTCCTCTCTCCACCATACCCCGAAAGGACTCTCCCTGTACAAATCCCCAGCCTCTTCCGAAACTCGACCCCTCCCCCCACCTCCGAGGGGTCCCTCTCCATCTTTTCCAGCTGAGGGACCCAGTTAGGCCCTGGCCAGACAACCCCACCCGCAGCCCCCCCCCCACCTCAGTGCGCAAAAAGGGGTCTGAGACAAGCATTTATTCCAGATCCCTCCTGGGCGACTCTCAGGAGTGGGGCAGAGGCAGACGCCAGTGGGGCTGCCGGCCCAGAGCCCGCTCCACTTCCTCGGCAGGCCACAGGTGGTGCCACTGGGCGACAGTCTGCCAGGCATGAGCCAGCATGTCCGCCCAGTGCTGCAGGGGCTGACCAGAGGCCCGGGGGCCCAGTAGCACTTTCCCGACGGGGCGAGCCCGGAGCTGCGGGCCTCGGGCCCAGACGGCCAGTACCAGGTCCACGCTCTGGCCAGTGAGAGAGAAAGAGAGAGAGAGAGAGAGAGAGAGAGAGAGAGGTCAGGGTGACCCTCATATGCAGCCTCATCCCTGCCCTGCCAGGGCCCACCTGGATCTGGCTGAGGGGCATGTGGAAAGTGACGGTGTCATTGAAGTAGGGGTGGCTGTGGTCTTCCCCCACACGGAGCTCTTCCGTTTGTCCCACTTCCTTTGGTGAAGCAGGAGCTGGACCTTCACATAGGGCTCTGGATGCACAGGGTTGGAGCAGACCAGCTCAGAGCCCAGCCTGGGGCCACCTTCCACTCTCCAGCCCAAGAGGGGACAGGGGGCAGGTGGGCCCAGCTCCCGCCAGACGTCCAGGACGTGCTGCAGGTCCACGGTGCCCAGCGGCAGGTGCAGCTCACCGAGCGGGGTATGTCGGGAGAAGCGGTTGAAGGCCAGCAACTGCACCCACAAGACAGCCCGAAGCAGCTCAGAGCGCAGGACCTGGGGGGACGGGACGGGCTGGGAGTTGCTCCTTCACCCTCCCCTGGCTGCCCACCGGCCCAGACCCACGCTGCCGCCTTGACCCACCTGGAAGCAGCAGGTCTCCTCAAACAGGGGGCTGAGAGTGCCCCGGGGCACCTTGGTCTCATGCCTCTGCCCAGGCTGCGTGGAGATGCTGACGCGGGCGTAGGGGTCAGCAGAGTGACCGGGTGCCGGGGCCCTCAGCTCGGCAGCCTGCTTTAAGCCCACTCTGATCTAGGGGGGTGGGAAGGGTGCGGCTTGGCCTGTCACCCCTCCCCCAGCCCCCCTACACTGCCCCCCGCCCCCCGCTCTGTCCCATTCCACAGACAGGGCCAGGCAGTGGGTAACCCCTCACCTCCTCCCTCCCGGAGTCATATTTCAGGGAGAGCAGCAGGCGTCCCCAGAGCTGAGGGCCCCCCACGCTGCTCCCCAGCTCACCCACGTCGGGCTGCACCTGTGGGGGATGGAGGAGGCCAGGACCTAGTGACAGGTGCTGCTGAGGCCCCGCCCACGGAGCCCTGGGCATCCTGGGAGCAGCATCAAGGCCTGGGTCCACCAAGCCACCTCCGCCAGCACCTTCCTCAGGAGTGGCTGTGGCCCTAGGACTCCTAGCTGGCACTCGCCCCTCTGCCCCGGGCGCCTGCTCCAGGCTGCCCTCTCCTCAGGCACCCTGAGGGCTGTAGACTATCCCCGCTGTCCCGGCAGCTCTGCGTGGGCACAAGGAGGCCAGCCTGCTTCTCATCATGTGGCTTCTGGTGGGGCCCCGGGCACTGGCCAGGCTCACGGTCTCCTGGCTTCTGGGCTTGGTGGCGGCGGAGGCAGCAGCAGCACCAGAAAGCCCACAGGAGGCAGGCGGTAACCAGGACGCCGGCAGACACAGCAATGGTGACCAACATCCAGCGGTGCCCTGGGGCAGAGCAGGGCCAGGTGCTACATGGATGGCACGGCCCCCACAGCCGGGCCGGCCCCCGCCCCTCACAGGGCTCCCCCCACTGACAGAGCGTGCTGGCGACGGGGTCTGCAGTGAGTCTGGGCAGAGCTGTGGTGCCAGGTGCCGCCAGGGCATGTCTAGGGTCTGGGGGCTGCACCAGACCCCTACCCTGTTGGTTCAGATGAGGGGGTCACTTGTGGGGCAGCCCCCCATCCTGACCGCCAGGCTATTAGCACAGCAGCCATCCCTGCACTGGCCCACCCGGGCTAGCAGGCCGCCTGGGGTGGCCAGAGCTGAAGGCTCCAGGCTGGACGCTGGTCAGGCCTCCTGACCCCTCCTGCCAGGTCTGCCTGCCCTCCCTGCAGGCCCAGCAGGTGACCAGAGCTGCCTCCTCCAGGAAGCTCCCAGGCCCCTGACCCAGTCTAGCCCACCAGGATGGAGGGAGGGGGGTCTCATTCCTGGCTCTGCCCACCCCCACTTTGTTTGCAGCCAAATGCTCACTGTAGCCCAGGAGAGGTTTAGAATCATAGGGGTCAACAACAACAACAAAAAAAAGAATCATAGGGGTCATGGGGCTGGGGATCAGAGCGAGGTCCCATAGAAGCCCACTCCTGTAAGCTTGGGCCCCAGGCACTGCCCTGACATGGGTGGGCGCAGGGCCGGCAGCCCCTGGGGATGAGGGTGAGGTGGGGCAGGTGGGGCAGGGCGTGGCCAGAACATTCCGAGGTGCTGACTCAGCTGCCCTGACTGGTCCCCGCCTGCTCAGCCGCCCTCTGCCGGGTGGGTGGGGGAGGGAGGGGCTGGCATGGTGGTTTGCCTGGCCCCTGCACCCTCACTTGCCTGGGGCCTGGGGCGGGAGTGCACCTGGCTGGGCTGGCCCCACCCACCCTCGTGCAAGAGGGCAGGGCTCTGAGCAGGGGGCTGGGGGGAACAGCCGGGCACCCCTGGAACCAGGTCCACAGGCTTGACCCCTGCTGGGGGCACCGGCTGCAGCACCAACCCTGCCCCCCACGTACCTCACCGTCACCTGCGTTTCCCCTCAGGTCCCCAGCCAGGAGGCTCAGGGCCCCTGGGAGATGGCACTGAACATCAGGAGGGGCAGAACACTCCAGAAATGACCCTCAGGCACAAGCAGACCCAACTCGCTCAGTTCATTCAGACAGGAGTGGCCTGGCTGGCCCCTAGCAAGTCCCCGACCAGGCCCACTGGATCCTGTCCCAGACCCTGTCTCTGTCCACCTCCGGGGGAGGTAGCTTCACTTACACTCATGGTCCCTGCAAACTGAGGCCCCCCTTCTAGGGACAAGTCAATGGTGAGGGTGGTGCGGGACCAGGCCTTGCGTCCTGCTGGTGTGGGCTGTGATGGGTCAGAACCAACCCTGCTCCCCAGCACCTGAGAGCAGCAACCGGAGGCCCCCTGCAGCGAGGCCGGTGGGTGAACGGGCTCCGCCACCGCCCCGGAGGGTGGGCCTTGGAGTGGTCAGAGGAGCTTGGGTGAGTAACACACTGGGCTGCAGCCCCCAGGGCCAGCCATTCAAACTCACCCGGGTTCCCGAGACAGGGACTCTTGACTGGAGTCAAAAGCCCCATCTCTCCCCCTCAGAGCGGCTGCTAGTTTCAAACTGCTGACCTTAAGAATCACAGCGCAATGAGTAACCGGTGCACCCCCAGGATCCTCAAGCAGGGTCCCAGGAACTGGGCTTAAACATCCACAGCAAACACACACACACACACACACAGACAATTCCACGATGTCATGACTTTAGTCTCATTAGACCACGTTCGGTGTCTTGGAGTACCTGGGGTTTCATGTTTCCTGAAATTAAGGCAGCCTCCTCCTAAACAGCCCAGAGTGGGGGTTCTGCATGTGTGTTGGGGGGAAATGGGGGAGGGGGCGGTCAAAAAGCCTGTGGAAAAGGGAATGAAAGCATCTTGGTTGTTTACTGAAGGTGTTTTGGTGTGTACCCATGAGCGTGAGTGTGTGTGCGCGTGTGCGTGTGCGTGTGCAAGTGTGTGCGCGTGCGCGTGTGCCCTGCGGACATCCCCAGTCTTGGTCCAGTCTGAGAAGAGACAGGCATGGGGACAGGGGCTCCCTGAGGTGTGGACAGCCACCGGGATTGTGGGGCCAGCCGGGAGGGGTCCCTGCAGCGCTTTGTGGGGTCCAGAATCCACTAAGGTCCCTTGGGCCCGCAGGGTCCTCAGGGTGGTAAAGGTGCAGGGGGTGATTCAGCCACCAGGGGGCGCCGCCCGCTCCTGCAGGCTCCCCAGGAAACGCGGGACCCCCAGCAGGACCGGGTGCTGGGGTCATCCTGCCTGACCCCAGGAGGGCCCATGCGCCCGCCTTCTGGTTACTGCCACTCCTCTCTGTGGGGGGCTGCCTCCTGGGCCATTTCCAGCACACCCCACTCCCCAGAAGGCAGGAAGTCCTTCCTGCTGCCTAACTGGCTGCCCACATCCTGGGTTCTGGGGGCTGAGGCTGTTGGTCTCAGTGATGTGAGATAGGCCACTTCCTCTAGGAAGCCTCCCCCAGAACCCCCAAGCTCTGCTTTCCCTCCTGTGGGGGCGGCCTCCTCACCACCCCTGCCCCGCACCCGGCTGGGCACGGGTCATTCCTGCCACTACTAAGCTCAGTCTGAAATGCACCCCCACACCCCTCCCCCCATACATCCCACACCTCATTTCTGCTCACCTTCCAAGGCCCATCTCAGCCCCGTCCCCTCCAGGAAGCCCTCCCTGAGTTCAGCCTCCTGGCTCCTGGTCTCCATTTCCCTGCAGTCTCTACTCTGCCTTCCTTCCAGAGAGAGAGAGAGAGACAGAGACAGAGACAGAGACAGAATCCAGCTCCCCCAGGAGCCTAGGAGGCCAGCTCCCACCTTCAGGTTGCCTTCCCGGCTCAGAGCTGGCACTCTGGAAAGCATGTTCATGGATGCCTTCTGGGGCAGTCCCACCTTGAGTCGAACGGACATTGCTACTGGAGCAAGTTCCTGCAGCGCCTAGCAAAGGCACTGCAGAGGCTCACCTGACGCCCACCGTTTCCTGCAGCCAGCCTGGCTTTGCTCTCAGCCCTGGGCACCCAGGGGCCAGCCGGACTCAGAGAGGACACTGGGAGCCCGTGCCTGGAGCCAGGTGCTGCTCAGCCTCTAGTCTTGGAGAAGAGGGGTGGGGTGTGGGAGGCAGGGCTTTGGGGAGCCCCACCTCATGGCCGGAACTGCTGGCCCTAGGGAGCAGGGAAACTCCCTTGGGGAGGTAGGGTCCAGGAGCCATGTCCCAGGCTGGGTCCACTTCCTGGGGACCCTGGATGGGAGTGGGGGGGCTGCAAGATGTGCACCCCAGGATTGTGTCCTGAGCCAACAGAACATCTGGGCTTGGTGTGGGAGCGTGGTGTTCCTCTCTGTGGCCATCAGACCCAAGGGCCATCCCGGAAGGCCAGCTGAACTGGGGCAAGGGTGGCCGCCCTGGGTGGGGGTGACCTGGGAGGGCCCTGCTGGGCTGCCAGCAAGCCCTGGAGTGGCCCCGGAGTGGTAGGCTGTGCTGCTGCCCAGCTGACAGGAGCAGAGAACTGTCTATGCCTTTGCCGCTGCTGGGCAGCTGTCCCCCCGGGGACCCAGCTCCCTTACCCGGGCGGCCCTGGAGGGCCCTAAGTCAGGAGCCAAAAGTCCCCATGAGGCTTCCAGCTACACCCTCTCCCCCTCTCCACTCCGACAAGTTTCTCCAGATTCCAAGGAAGTGGGTTCTAGCGGATGGGGTCAGCTCCTCCCCGGCTCTCTCCCAAGCCGGGGTATCTATCTCACTGGGCATCGCTGCCGCCCAGCTGAGAGACAACGTGACCCTGGCTAATGCTTAACCACAGAGCCCCGTGGAGCTGGGCCACGGGACTGCTAAGAGGCTGGGCTTGTTAGAGCCCCAGCGGCGCAGTGTTTATGACTTGGCTGCTGGCTACAAGGTCAGTGGTTCAAAACCGGCAGCTGCTCTGAGGGAGAAAGATGAGGCTTTCTACTCCTGTCAAGAACAGTCTGGGAAGCCCAGGGGCCGTTCCAGCCTGTCTGACAAGGTCACTATGAGTTGGAATTGACTTGCTGGTAGTGAGGTTGGAGCCCATGCATGTACCCGCACTGGTCAGCCCACCCAGGGGTCCGCCTTGGGTGTGCACCCATCTAGTGCGCTTTGGGGTCCACCGTGTGCTCCCTTGTCTCCTGGCCTGGTGGGCCTGAGAGGAGAGGGGCAGCCCAAGGGGCCAGGTGCTGCCCCATGTGGCTGGGCACTGGTGAGGCTGGCTCTGGGCTGCCCGCCCAGCCAGGCAGGAGCCGTGACCTACGTGTGTGCCGGGCGCTTGCCGGCTGTGTAGGACCTTTGTGCCTCAGAGTCTAGGGGCGCCGGCCTGGCGGGGCACAGCCCAGGTTCCCGGGCAGGAAGGGAAAACCAAATAGAGCCTGCAGCCTGCGGGGCTCCTGGCCGGGGCCACTTCCTGTGAGGTGGCTGGGAACTGGGCTCAGCCCCTGGCTCTGCGCAGGGGCTGCTGGCACCCGACACGGGAGGTGGATGCGCATCTGGCCCATCTGACCAGAGGCCGGGCAGCCAGTCTGCTGGGGCTGGGGGCTCACCAGGGGTGCCCGCCACTGGGTCCTCACCTGCCTATGCCCCACACCTTGTGTACAGGGGCCCATACTTCCTCCTCCTGGGAGCCCGCACCCCACCACCTGAGATTCAGGGGTTCTACACCTCACTGTCTGAGCTATGTGGACCCCATGCATCATCACCCGAGCGCGGAGGACACCACACCCCACAACCCAAGTTTCAGGGAGCCTGACCCCAGCCCCAAGGAGACCTTACTCCATCACCTGAGTTTGTGGACCCCACACACCATCCCCTGTGCACCGGGGAGCCTACAACTCTCCACTCGAGCTTTGGGGAGCCCCACCCTACTCCTGGGAAGGCCTTCCTCCATAGCTCGAGCTTTGGGGATCCTACACCCCAGCA